AGAGAGTCTCCTCAGAAATCAGATGTGCTCCTGGATCTTCTTCAGCATGGAACAACTCCATGTGAACCTGATTCAGAGCAACCACTCAAAAGTGCTAATAAAAGCATAAAAAGTCAGTGATCCATTAAGCTCACCTACAGATGAGTTTTTAAACAGCTGGGAATAACACACCCTTGAATATTTCTATCATCAGAATGAGGTTTTGTTTCACGCTTTTAAAAGCCACAGAGTACCATCCTCTAACCTGAATTTACATGAGAACAGGCAATGCCAAGGAAGTTTGTCAATGGCCATACTTATTAACAACTGAAGGTAACCTCCAAAATATTCTTCCACATTGTGATTTTCATATCTTTAGTCTTTAGCTGATGTGTCAATCACATCATTATCTGTGAGCATGCTCATATGTCATAAAAATGGGTTTCCATCCTTCTCAGCACCTAAGGCAGACATGAAATAATCAGGGCACAGAAAATGTACATGCCTGTTCCAATGCTAGAGAAGCAATTTCCCTGTCTCCAGCAAATACTACTGCTCTCCATGTATAAGATGGGTCATCACTGCCGGTTCATAAAAATTAGTCTAAAGAATTACTTCATTTAAAAATTTCTAAATGTTTAGAAATTTGCTGGCAGAAGAAAGGAAGGTTATTCCTCATCTTAGGTTTTTGGGGGTTTTTACAGACATTGTTTCTCTCCTGATGAATGCTCATTTCCAGCTGTTCCTGCACATGAATGAAATGCCTGCTTAGTGGACAATAAGAAATTAATGGACCATCTCAGTGCACCTTTTCTGTATATTCCAGGGGCAGCTGAACGAGGGAACAGCCCTTTCACCAAAGAATAATTTAATGCTAATAAAACACAGCATTAAACAACTATCAGTTCTTTCCATCTGCTTCCTACCAGATCATTTATACTAAACCACGGCAAACTGCTCCCTCAACCACTGACATCACCATATCCAATACATTATTACAAAAAAAAAGGGGGAAAAGGAAAAAACATATTCCAGCAGAGCCAGCTTGGTCTCATCCTGGCCGCACGGCTCCCCAGTGGCAAAAGGCACCTTTCCCCCACGACCCTCAAAGCCAGGCCCCGTCTCCGCGTCACCTCCCGAGGGCTCCCAGCCCCTCACCGCGGCCTCGGGGCGGCTCCCGGGGGCAGCCACAAGGCCCCGGCATGGCCCAAGCCCTGAGCCGCCGCTCCTCCGGCCCCACAAGCCCTGAGCCCCCGGCCCGTCCTTCGGGCCGTGCTCCGCACCGGCGCGACCCCGCAGCCCCTCGGCCC